AGCTGTTGTTTCGAAGATCTTGAGATCCTTAGCTCCTAAGTTCGACCACATAGTGGTGGCGATCGAAGAGGGGAAAGACTTGTCGAAATTGACAAAGGAAGAGCTTCAAGGGACGCTCGAATCTCATGAACAAAGAATGAACGAAAGAGCTGCAGGAAAATCGAAGAGTGATGTAGCCTTGCAGGCACATTCAGCAAAAGAAACCAAAGGCAAAGGAAAGTATTTCGACAGAAGTAGAGGTGGATACAACAAATCGAATGGTAGAGGAAACCAAATCGAAGGAGACGTGTCGAATCAAAGAAGACCACACCACGACAACCAAAGAGGTGGTGCTGCAAACAGAGGAAGAGGTGGTGGTCGAAAACCTGATAAGAGTCACATTCAATGTTACAATTGTCAGAAGTATGGTCACTATTCGAGTGATTGTCCAGAAAAACGAAAGAATCAAGAAAGTGATGCAAAGCTGGCAAAACATGAAGAAGAAGAAGAGATGATGCTGATGGTCACAACAAGAGATGAAGACAGATTCAAGGACCAATGGTACTTGGATTCAGGATGTTCATCACATATGTCTGGAAGGAAAGACTGGTTCGTCAATATAAAACCCTCAACGAAGAATATGGTAAAATTTGCAAATGACAACACCCTAGCAGCTGAAGGTATTGGTGATGTTATGATCATGAGGAAAGATGGCAAGAAGTCAGTAATTTCGAATGTATTGTACATACCAGGCATGAAGAGCAATTTGCTCAGTATAGGGCAGTTGGTCGAAAAGAATTATAAAGTGTCAATCGAAGATAAGTTGATGAGAGTCGTTGATGCAAATGGGAGATTAATCTTGAAGGCTCCTATGTCTCAGAATCGAACCTTCAAGATTGAACTAAATGTGATGGAGCACAAGTGCCTTTCAACTGCAGCTAGCAGAGATGAATGGATATGGCATTATAGACTTGGTCATCTCAACTTCAGAGACATCAGAGATTTGAAGAGAAGAAATATGGTTTCAGGATTGCCTGAAATTGACATTCCAAACGAAGTATGTGAAGAATGTGTGCAGGAGAAGCAACACAAGAACAGCTTCAGCAAGGATGCAGGAAGCAGATCGAAGGCTAATCTCGAAGTCATATACTCTGATGTATGTGGACCAATTCAGGTGGATTCGATGGGAGGTAACAAATACTTTGTTACATTCATAGATGATTTCAGTAGAAATCTATGGACTTACCTGATCAAGAAGAAAAGTGAGGTGTTCGAAGTATTTATCAAGTTCAAGTCCATGGTCGAAAGACAAAGTGGTCGAAAGCTCAAAGTTTTGAGAACTGATGGTGGAGGAGAATATGTGTCGAAAGATTTCGACAGATTATGTGAAAAAGAAGGGATTGTGCATGAGGTGGTGCCACCCTATACTCCACAACAAAATGGAATTGCAGAAAGGAAAAATCGAACCATCATGAACATGGTGAGAAGTATGTTGAAAGGCAAGAATTTACCTAAAGAGTTCGGGGGTGAAGCTGTTTCGACTGCAACATACATTTTGAACAGAAGTCCTACAAAGAAGCTAGAAGGAATTACTCCAGAAGAATGTTGGTCTGGTGTGAAGCCTAGCTTAAGCCATCTGAAGGTATTTGGATCTATTGCACATAGACATGTGCCAGATCAGTTGAGAAAGAAACTTGATGACAAGTCAAGTCAAATGATCCTAGTTGGATATCATTCGACAGGAGGCTACAAGTTGTTCGATCCAGAGAACAAGAAGATTGTGATCAGCAGGGACGTGATCATAGATGAGTTCAAAGAATGGGATTGGACTGCAAATGTCAAGAAAGATTCAGTGGGAATCTTATTCGAAGAGCCAGAAACTCAATTCGAAAGAGAAGTTCGACAAGAGGAGCCAGCAGATATACCCAGTACAAGTAGACCTCAAAGAACAAGACGCGTGCCTGCAAGATTGCAAGATTGTGTGATTACATCAGATGATGTGATAAATGATGAAGGTGAGCTGGTACATTATGCTTTCTATGCAGATGTCGAACCTGTTAATGCAGCTGAAGCATTAAAGGATTCGAAGTGGGTGAAAGCAATGAACGAAGAAGTAAAGTCTATCGAAGACAACAACACTTGGTCACTAGTCGAATTGCCCCAAGGCAAGAAGGCAATTGATGTCAAATGGGTATACAAAGTGAAGACTAATTCGAAAGGTGAAGTAACTCGACACAAAGCAAGACTTGTGGCGAAAGGATTTCTACAGAAAGAAGGAATAGACTTCGACGAAGTTTTTGCACCTGTTGCTAGGATCGAAACAATCAGGTTGGTTGTTGGTCTAGCAGAAATCAACAGTTGGCACATATGTCAGATGGACGTGAAGTGTGCATTCCTAAATGGACCCTTAGATGAAGAAGTTTATGTTAAACAACCAGTTGGGTTTGTGAAACATGACGAAGAAAGAAAGGTGTACAGGCTACATAAAGCCCTGTATGGTTTGAAACAAGCTCCAAGGGCTTGGAATAAGAAAATTGATAGTTTTCTAAGGGAGAAGGAATTTGTGAAGTGCATAACTGAACATGGAGTATATGTAAGAAGAAGCAAGAATAAATTGCTTATACTATGTCTCTATGTAGATGATTTGTTGATAACAGGTAGCTGCAAGAGTGAGATCGAAGACTTCAAAGTTGATCTTAGCAAGGAATTCGAAATGTCTGATTTGGGTGAGATTTCATATTTCCTTGGTATCGAATTCTACAAAAGCAGTAGAGGTTTGATGATGCATCAAAGAAGATATGCAGGGGAAATTCTCAAGAGGTTTGAGATGGAAGAATGCAACTCAACTTCGACACCTGCAGAACCAAGACTACAACTGTCGAAAGATGCAGATGAAGATGATGTTGATCCAACCCAATACAGAAGACTTATTGGATCATTGAGATACCTTTGTCATACAAGGCCTGACTTAGCATACAGTGTAGGTATGGCAAGTAGATTCATGCAGAAGCCAAAGGTATCACATCTAGCAGCTGTGAAGAGGATACTAAGGTATCTCAAAAGAACTTTCGATTATGGCATTCTGTTTCCTGCAGTTGATAAAGGAAAAGAATGCAAGTTAGTGGGATACACTGATTCGAGTTGGTGTAGTGATGCTGAAGATCGAAAGTCAACAGCAGGATATGTGTTTATGCTAGGTGGTGCAACAATTGCTTGGAGTTCGAGAAAAGAACCAGTAGTAGCATTATCATCATGCGAAGCAGAATACATAGCTGCTTCTCTTTGTGCATGCCAAGCAACCTGGATGGTGAACTAGGTCGAAGAGATAACAAGGAAAAATCATGGAGCAATTACCATGAAGATAGACAACATGTCAGCTATCAACCTGGCGAAGAACCCAATAGCACATGGTCGAAGTAAGCACATCGAAATGAGGTTCCATTATCTTCGAGAGCAGGTAGCAGATGGGAAGATGAATTTGGAACACTGCAGAACTGAGAATCAGATTGCAGACATCATGACGAAGGGAGTGCAAGTCGAAGTATTCAAAAAGCTAAGGGCCATGATGAACATAGACAGTTTAAACACAATGAATTAGGTGGTGTGTTAAATTGTAATTCATAGGTGTCAAAAGAAGATTTGATTTGTTTAGATTTAAATAGATTTGAATTTAAATCTAGATTAGATTTGATTTAGTAAAGAGATATTTTAGGCTTGGGTTTACCTTAGGGAGCAAGCTAACCTAAATCTATAAATAAGAGGGAGTAACCCTTATTTTTGAATTCAAGTCATTGAACTCATTCACAGTATTTTGCAGTTGCAAAGTGAATTAATAAAGATTCCACAGTTTGTGGGCAGAATAGAAATTTTGCAGAAATATCTCCATTGTTCTTTTATTTGTTTGTCATAACTAATCATCAGTGGTGGTCGGAATTCATCATAGAGTATTGGTGGATTTCCAACACAAATCAACTTGCTTGTGAATTGAATCAAGAGGTATTGTGATTCGAATTACATAATTCCCATATTTGAATCAGATGGACAAAGGCAAATTCTTCACATCCAAGCATGTGTTTGATTTGAATCACTACTTATCTTATTTGAATTACTACCTCCACCGGAGCCTCCACCACCGGAAGAGTTACTAAATTCGCGATATCTCACTTATTCACCATTAAAATGGTAAAATTTTAGTTACTAAACAATTTGAACAAAAATAAAAAATAAATGGCATAAATCAATGAAGAAATTGAAGTGAGAAATATTAGACAGGGTTAGTAACTAATTTGAAACATTAGTAGAGTTAGATATATGTTTGAGATTAAGCTAATCAATTTGACATTTAAAATGTGAATTGAGTCGTAATTAAGCTGATGGCACACTATTAACACCTCTAACTTCCATAGAAATGATCAAATTAAAAAAGGTTCGACAGATACATGATTAAATTGAAATATTAACAGAGTTAGAGATATTTTTTATACAAAGACCAATTTTATATTATAAATATAATTAAAATTATACAAAAAGGAAAGACAAAAAAGGGGTAATAAATTGCGCTACCGCTAAACTAACCCTGTTAGTGATTTCAAACATAATTGTGAGGCTTTTATGATGTCATTAGTTACTTGATGCTTACATGTAATCCCTAAGCAAACCCACCAAGTAAATGTAGCAAGTGTGTAACTGTCCCACATATATAAAGGTGAAATACGATATTACACCTACATGAGAGTACAAAGTTGTAGGAGCACTACGTACGTGTTACAGTTTCCAATAGAATCCTATTATTAAATGAATGATTCTCCAAGTTATTATCTTTTAGTCAAAGTAATCCATAAAGTTGAACATTAATCTACAAGTTATTATTATTTTTGTTTTAGTGTAAGTGGTCTGAATTTGAACTAGGTACACACACACAAATAGTTGCATTTTTGTGTTATTAGTAAGGGTCCTCTCCTATTTAGCAGAAAAATATACAATAGTATTATTGCATCCAAAATTGAAGTGTGTATTCAAAAATGGTTTCAGCTACTTCTTCTCCCCCTTCTAAGGAGGTAACATTTCTAAATTATTTAACTTATCATTTTAATATAGTTGTTGAATATTGTATTGTATGCTTGCAGGAAGTAGAGACAGATCAAAAATGGGTGGACAATGGACACGCTCGCAGTGCAAAATGGTGGTACTCAACTTTCCACACCGTGACAGCCATGATAGGTGCAGGTGTTCTCAGCCTTCCGTATGCCATGGCATATCTAGGATGGTAAATATTCAAATGCAATGCAAAATATATATATACTAATGCTTTCTATCTATAACATTGGATCGTATTCATTGCAGGATTCCAGGGACTTTGATGTTGTTGTTATCATGGGGCCTAACCTTAAACACAATGTGGCAGATGATTCAGCTCCATGAGTGTGTTCCGGGTACCCGATTTGATCGTTATGTGGATCTTGGTAAACATGCTTTTGGACCAAAACTTGGACCATGGATTGTGCTGCCACAGCAATTAATTGTTCAAATTGGATGTAATATTGTGTACATGGTCATTGGAGGGAAGTGTCTAAAGAAGTTCATGGAGATTGCATGCACCAATTGCACACAACTCAAACAGTCCTACTGGATTTTGATTTTTGGCTCCATTCATTTCTTTCTCTCTCAGCTTCCCAATTTCAATTCTGTTGCTTCTGTTTCTTTAGCAGCAGCTGTCATGTCATTGAGGTAATTAATATCACGATGCTACTATGCTTTGGTTGATTTGATTTTTGTGGTTGCTTAGCTAGTTTCACTCTTTCGATCCACAAAAAGTGGACTCCTGACAAAAGTACTGTTTGGATTTTTCCTAAAAGAACATAGTCATGTGAAAAAGCATAAACAAGTGTCCCATGAACTCATAATAATTTAGTAAAGCCACTAACTTGAGCTTAAAAGGTATATAAACAAATTTCACTTCTAGCTATGTGTTGAAGCATTTCTAAGTCTTATAACTCGGTTGTTGTCACAAAAAGTATTTCTAAGTCTTATAACTCGGTTGTTGTCACAAAAAATATTTCTAAGTCTTATAACTCGGTTGTTGTCACAAAAAGTATTTCTAAGCCTTATAACTCGGTTGTTGTCACAAAAAGTTGTACTTAATGGTTGATGGGTCGAACCAATTAAGGTAAAATCAAATAGATTGTATATGTGAATCAAGTTGCTCCGCCCCAATTTACTATGCCTAATATAGCTGAACAAGCTTATGATATTACATGTTTACAAGTTATTATCCTATATTACATCAATGATATTCAATATAGAATTTCGTGTTTAACACTGACAAACATTCAATCTGAAATATCGGTCATAGTTGCTTTTAGAATGCTAAAATAATGACTATATGCTGAGTGCAGCTATTCAACTATAGCGTGGGTGGCTTGCTTGTCCAGAGGTAGGGTTGAGAATGTGAGCTATTCATACAGGCAAACAAGCACAAGTGACTTAATATTCCGAATCTTCAACGCACTTGGTCAGATTTCATTTGCATTTGCTGGGCATGCAGTAGCCCTTGAAATTCAGGCAACAATTCCATCAACACCTGAAAAACCATCAAGAATACCAATGTGGAAAGGTGCTATTGGTGCCTATATCATAAATGCAATATGCTATTTCCCAGTTGCACTTATTGGATATTGGGCATTTGGAAGAGATGTTGATGATAATGTTCTTATGTCACTAGAAAGACCTGCTTGGCTCATTGCCTCCGCTAACTTGATGGTATTCATTCATGTTGTTGGTAGTTATCAGGTTTATGCTATGCCTGTTTTTGATTTGATTGAGACAATGATGATCAAAAGCTGGAGTTTCCCGCCAGGATTGCCTCTCAGACTTGTTGCTAGATCTTCTTTTGTAGGTCAGTGATATACATATCCATAACCAATGGTATTCGAATTTCCTGCATTCACATCGGACCTCATACACTTGTTTAAGTAACACTATCTTATTTTGTTGCAGCATTTACACTTACTATAGGGGTTACATTCCCTTTCTTTGGCGATCTTCTTGGGTTCTTTGGTGGATTTGGTTTTGCTCCTACTTCATATTTTGTAAGGCTCTTTCATTTCATTTCATACAAGAATTTATTTATTCAAAACACACACAAAAATAATTAATCTGGGGTGCTGCATGAATTGTTTCAGCTTCCGAGTATAATGTGGCTAATAATCAATTGTTTCAGCTTCCGAGTATAATGTGGCTAATAATCAAGAAACCCAAGAGATTTAGCATCAACTGGTTCATCAATTGGGTAAGATTTTGGAAATGAATTCATGTATCCCGCTAGTATATTGTATTGAGCCTCAATTTGCTTGTGTGTTTTCAGGCTGCAATATGCATTGGTGTGTGCATTATGCTGGCATCCACGGTTGGTGGCTTCAGGAATATCATTGCTGATGCTTCAACTTATAAATTCTACACCTAAACTTATTATTATTATTATCTTCTATACGTATTAATTGACTTCAAAATATAAATGTAATCTTCTTTATGTGAAAGCGTATTTTGAATTGTATTCGTGGGACTAGCTTATCGAGTGAATTAATACGATGAATTTAGATTCTTGATTGATATAATTTTGTGAATGCATATAAGTCTAGGTTTGTATTGTTCTAGATTTAGATTGTTTTGATTCATGTCAATCTTTGGTCTAGTCTTATGAATGGTGTAATTTGTATCCTCAATAATTTCTTTCATGCCTAATCTTTTTAACAAAAGTCTTACAAAATTTTTAATTTTACGTTATATTAAAATGAGTTTTTCATGATCATTTGAATCATTTTGGTTCATTGGATTTTCAGTTTGCTCTCAGGTCCTAGTGATTCGAATTTCACTACATGCTGATTCAAATCTTCATTGAAATCACATGATCATTTTTGTCCTCAGTTCTTGTTGATTCGATCAAGGAAATATGGTGATTGGAATCATGTTAAAACACTGTATTTTATTTTTTTTGAATAAACAATGATTTCATTCAAAAAATGCGAGTACAAAGAGTACTCAGAGCCCTCAAAATCAATCAAGAGAAAACTCCAACTATCTCCTAATACAATTTAAAGGAGAAGAAATCGAATAAAAAAAACTACAGTTACAAACAATTTTGCTATCTAAAACCGCCCACTTCGAAGACGCGAATTTGACGGGCACCAAACAATCATCAAAGTTAAAAAAAAACCATTTGGGAACATCATTGCATTCCTAGAACTCCAAATAATCTATATCATTGCTAACCAAATCAAGCTGACCAAATCACGACCATCCTTGTGTAACGCCCATAATTTAATTAATTATTTAATTAAATTATTTTTGGAATATTTGTGAAGAAGTGTTATTATAATTGGATTTTATTTTATTAAGTGGAGAAATAATAATATATTAGAGGTATAATATTATTATTTGGTGAAATAATGTTAGAAGCTAATATTATTTAATGTGGGTCTTTATTGTGTGAGTGGAAGTAATAAGGGGGTGTAGATTTTGAGCCCAATAAGAAATAAGAATAATATAATAATAGGGTTATATTATTTGTGAGAAGGAATAGAAGAAAGAACAGTAGAAGGAGAAATAAGGATTTGAGAAGATCGTGAACCTGCTGGAATTAGAAGGAAACGACAAGAACAAAGATTCAACCCGGAAATTGTAGAGCGACCTTCGATCCAAGGTAAGGGTGGGGTTCTGGCTTTATAATTGGGTTCATGATGTTTGATATATGGGGTTAGATGTAATTGCTATTTGTTCTTGAATTAGATGTGTTATGAATGATGTATGGTGAATATTGATGTATTATGGATGAATAATGATGTTATTATGTTATTTGATCAATGGAGTAATAGAGTGTAATATTAGGTGATGAATTACCATGATTATAATGAGGTTTGTAGGTTAATAATATGATTCCCGTAGTGAATTACAGTACAAAACGCAGAAAATTATGCAGACTGTCGAAGGATGTGTCGACCCCAAATTGGATGTGTCGATACATGAAGGCTGTTCGACTGAAGATGAGTCGATGCATGGAGGGCTTGCATCGATGCATGTTAAGTGTAAGACTCGGTATGAGTCGACACGAAGAGAGGATGTGTCGACACATGAGTGTGTGAGACTCAGGATGAGTCAATCGGTGCGATGCATGTGTCGATACATGTTGCGTTTTGAAGTTAGGATGAGTCGATCGGTAAGTGCATGTGTCGATACATGCTGCGTTTTGAAGTCAGGATGAGTCGATCCATAAGGTTTCGTGTCGATACATAATGTCTGGTTTTCGACAGAATTGACTTTTAATTGTTGTAACTTGAGTTTTAGGATGTTGTTTGAGATGTCGTTCGAAGCTTTGATTAGCTAACGCAATGAACATTATTCTAGATGATTTAAATGATGATTAAGAGGTGTAATCCCAGTAACCAATATAAGATTTAGAATTAATTCCCGTGATTGATCGTTATTGCTGGATTTTGGACAGAATGATGAACCTGAGATGTTTAGAGGTTGCTGTTAGGAATTATGACAGTAGGATTAGTGACAATAATGATGTACAGTAGCAGAATAACAGTAGGGATTACTGTAGTATTGATATACAACTGAGTTAATAGTGAGATGTGGTCATTAAAGTTGTGTTTGATAATTATGATGAACCAATGACGTTTGATAAATAAATGATGTTTAAAAAATTATTTTGAGATGTTTATGAGATGTTGTAATTGAGATGTTTTGAGATGATTGAGATGTTGTTGTTTTGAGATGTTTATAAGATGTTGTTGTTCTGAGATGCTTATGAGATGTTGTTGTTTTGAGATGATTTGGGTGTTGTTATTACATTCATGATGAGTCGCATACATTGCATTTTTGAGATAGAGCTTATGCTCGTTGAGATGGCCTGGATTGGCAAATTTTGAGATGAAGGTTATGCCTTGTTGATGCCTCTATTAATTGGCAGATTTTTGAGATGGGAGTTCTGCTCCAATGGTACCACATGTATTTGCATAGTTTTGAGTCGCATTATATGATTGAGTAATGAAGTGTATTTGATGTTGATGAATGAGTATGATCACAAAAGAACACAAGTCAAGGTGCTTGGTGATTCCTCAAAGAGCAAAGCTAAACATAGGGAGGGGAACCAATAATCCTAATGTGATCTTATTGTGATTGAATCAACATGGTATGATGAAGGGATCTTAGGGGCAAAAATTGGGGTACAACAGCTGCTCTTATTTAAGTTTCTTCTATCAGGAGATACGAAGGTTAAAAATCTTCGTGTCGACGCGATCAAAGATACTTAAATATAAAACAAACCCTATTTTTGGCCCTAAGATGCCATGCAATGCTTATGAATATGAGTGCAAATGGACAATTCTAAAGGGACGCAAAACACCACTGGGGATGTAACAAAAAATAAAGAAACAAGAGAGTAACCCAACCAGGAAAATAAATCACTGGTGGATCAAAAAAGCCTGAATCAGAGAGGATGGTAAAATGGTCAAAGAATACACCAACTTCTACTGAAGGAAAAACTACCAACATTCACTAAAGGTAGAAAGAGGAAAGAAATAACAACACTGATGTTCACTGACAGTGAGCTACCAACGTTTATTGAAGGTAGAGAGAAGAAATCATCGATGTTCACTCCTGATGACCTACCAACTTTCACTGAAGGTAGGAAGAGAATATATCATAGCATCGCTGTTCACTGACGATGAACTACCAATGTTCACTGAGGGTAGCAAAAAGATAACAATCACCAACTTTCATTGATGGTGATCTACAAACTTTCACTGAAGGTAGAAAGAGAATATATCATAGCATCGTAGTTCACTGACGATGAACTACCAACATCCACTGAGGGTAGTAAAAAGATAACAATCATCGACGTTCACTGCTGATGACCTACCAACCTTTACTGAAGGTAGGAAGAGAATATATCATAGCATCGTCGTTCACTGACGATGAACTACCAACGTTCACTAAGGGTAGCAAAAAGATAACAATCACCAACTTTCACTGATGGTGATCTACCAACTTTTACTGAAGGTAGAGAGAATATATCATAGCATCGCCGTTCACTGACGATGAAATACCAACATTCACTGAGGGTAGCAAAAAGATAACAATCATCGACGTTCATTGCTGATGACCTACCAACTTTTACTGAAGGTAGGAAGAGAATATATCATAGCATTGGCGTTCACTGACGATGAACTACCAACGTTCACTGAGGGTAGCAAAAAGATAACAATCACCAACTTTCACTGATGGTGATCTACCGACTTTCATGGAAGGTAGAAAGAGAATATATAATAGCACCGCCATTCACTGATGATGAACTACAAACTTTCACTGAAAGTAGAAAAAAGATAACAATCATCGATGTTCACTGCCGATGACCTACCAACTTTCACTGAAGGTAGGAAGAGAATATATCATAGCATCGTCGTTCACTGACGATGAACTACCAACATTCACTGAGGGTAGCAAAAAGATAACAATCATCGACGTTCACTGCCGATGACCTACCAACTTTTACTGAAGGTAGGAAGAGAATATATCATAGCATCATCGTTCACTGATGATGAACTACCAACGTTCACTGAAGGTAGCAAAAAGATAACAAGTTTCCCCAAAATTATGGCATTTCGCCTAGAACGAGTCTCAACTTCTTCTTTAAGTGAGGCACTTTTCCTGGAAAGGGTAAGCTGTCTCAAATAAAGAGACTCCCACCTGCCAAGATTTCACAATGAACTGTCTCTGAATTTAAAAGTCTTGCCATCTACTTACGTAAACCGGCCACAGACTACAAACTATCCACTCATAGAGGAGATAGCAAAAAAAGTTACGTCGACTATTACAGGGAAGCACAAGTTGCTCAAATAAAGAGACCTGTCACTTGTTGTCATGGAGGATTGTAAAACGAAATGACTTTATGGGGGAGAACAGTATGGCTTCCCGAGGAATGAAATATGACTTCATGGGGAAATGCCACGATATTCCTGCTGAGGAGATAAAGTCTTCTTGTGCAAAATAAATGCACAAACCAAAACTCAAAGCTTTCAGAAATCCAGAGTAAATAATATTGTTGGGAAACCAAAGATTCAAATCAGAAATAAACTGGAATGAAACAATCAACTAAAATACATCCTTTGAGAAATAAACTCAAGAGGGGAAACCAAATCCATCCAAACAAGGAGATGTACAAAAAGGCTAAAGCAAAAATCTTCCACGAGGGATAACTCAGTGGGGAAATTGAAAGAATATATGCTTTCTGCTTAAGGCCAACACTCTATTGAAGAGAGGACAACGTAACTCTGCAAAACAGGGTGATATGTCAACAAAAATATTAACAAATTTTAATGAATAATGACTTGCTAACTTTAGCTATGCATGATGTATGTATGAATGTATGAGTGTTATTTTGCGTATGCTGATAAAACAGAT